AAAAAAAATCCCATTATTCCGACGTCACTTGGTTGATACCAGAGCTGTCCGGAAAGAATGAAAAACGCGGAGTGGCAACTTCTACAAGACATTCCGCAGAAATACGCTGCCAAATGCTCCTTTGATTTTGAATAGGAACCGAATGTGTGACGAATATTAAAAGAGATTCCTCATCCATCAGGCAAGTCTGGTATCACAATTGACATCGGATCAAGAGGATCCATTTTGCCCTGGTGCGACTTGATCCGGGCACACTCCTGATCAGGCGTGTGGCTAGGGACGGGAATCATCACTGCTATAATTCTACTGGAGCTCGTTTAAACCGAAACGTGGATCAAGTCGCGAGTCTGGGCTTCAACTATGTTACTTGAGTGGTTGTAAACTAATACTTACAATTTCATAGATACCACCAGCAAGGGAGGCGATCTGTGTTGCTGCTGCGATCGAACCCATCACATCGGGTGCTACATCGATTCCTGAACACTTTGGCTTTACACTAATCGTTCATGCAATGTCGATGCTTATACAGAAACCTTAACGGCCGCTCGACAACCCACTCTGCATGTCGACGTACATGAAGATCAGCTTGATCACTGCTGCACATGCAAATAGTTGTCCATAAAGGTATTTCTGGAAATATCGAATATCGGTGAGATTTCTACCAGAGGCTGGAGTTGAATAGGGCCACAACTTCAGTATTCTTTCAATCAAGCGGAAGTCTTCTCCATTAAAAAGGGGCTTTAAGTGCCATTGTGACTCTGCTGTAGCCGTTTAGCATTGACAGAATTCTGCTGGCGATTCTTAGGCAGCGTTCAGACTTCGCGACGGCAGCGCTTCAGTCGCGCAATCCGACAATCGATGCGCATGCTTTCGACTGCATCGATCGCGCGACCGAAGCGCTGCCGCTCGCGAAGTCTGAACACTGTCCTCTAGGCATGCTTTCGAAACTTCGTTTCCAAACAACGATTGCGTCCCACCTTCAATAGGATCAGTTTCATTATCGGAACATATTAGCTGTGTGACCATTTCGGTGCGATGATTGGTGAGGGTTACAGTAATCCCAAATTTGGGCACTTTTCAAAGCGAGAACTGTTATGAGATTCTTGTTCAATCACGATAATCGCTGCTTAATGCCTCCGCTCGAGCTCATGACATCCATCATGAAGAATTTCGACTTATGGGAGGAGAAGATATGAGGATCAACGCTGTACTTTTACTTACAGTGGGATCGTTTTCCAGCGTACAGCCAGCCACACGCCTAACCATAGCAAAATGCCCTACCGGTCTGCGTCCTCTCACTCCGATTGCTCTCTACCTCTGACCAAGCGTTAATTTTTTTGTGCGATTTCGATATCGACGAAATGCACCTTGAGTGTAGCTTGGGTGAAGTCGGGAGACACATCTGGGTATCACTACCGTCCAGCCCACTTTCCGCCTTTTTTTGAGCGGAGAAAGTGGAACTGTACTGCAGTTGTGGACATTAATATCAGGCGGCGACTCCAACGTCCATCTTCACGCTACCAGCGCGGATGATAAAGGTATGAATTTCGAGCATCTTTGTACCGCCAGTTCTATTTTAACACACTCCGGACCACCGTTGTGTGAGGAACTCCTGATCACCTCATCATTTTTGGAACAGTAATCAGCAATTTCATCTGTTTCTTCCACTTTCTTATGAGATATGTGTATCATGTGTCCCAGATAGGTGTTTCGATAACATTGAAGAAGCCGCTGGAAAAGATGCAAATAAACAATACGAAAACCTGGGCGACGAGGAATCGAATGTCGTTAACGTGACACACCATGTGCGTCACGTTAACGACATTCGATTCTGATGAACAATTGTAGACGTGAGGGATGAGGATTGCTGTATGAGCTCAGTGGGAGAACTTAATGGGTGAGCAGACCACTTTCTCCGTGCGGGAAGGTTTTCGTGATTCGTCGTTCGAAGCTGAGCGCATGCTACTTCTCTGAACGTTTACAAAAAAGTTTTTTTTCGGCAACAGATGCTTCGCTTCTCATCAGAAGGCTCTGTCTTAGTGGAAGATCCCCAGTCATCCCTTGTAATGCAGGTATTGCAATGGCTAACCTGGAGGTGCGTGCATACCCTAGCAGGTTACTGAGATCTAATAGATTCCATGGAGACTATACTTTGGTCCTGCCCAGCAAGAAAACAACCCACCCTCCTTGGTTGATAATAGGCGAAAGCAGCAATGTAGAACATGAAGAATGCAACGTTGATAGTATTGATGGTTATGTTCGTGTTATCGTTGGTCATGTATCCGTGCCTTAACCAGCATGACGTCCTGAACACATACACTAAATAAGTTAATCTTCTTTACAAATCAATTGCCTATCAATGATAAATGGAAAGAAAGAAGGGAAATAAAAAGCTCGGTCATCCAAAATGATGGAGGTACTGTTTTCTGTTCCTTCTGTAGAAGTCTAATTCGAGTTAACCGCTCATTGTAGTTAAAACATTTAGTTAGCCCGAGCGACATTTGCTAATACGCATGTTCGTGATTCATTCAGTTCATCTGAGGAAAAAAATAGGCAACATTGGACGATTCTAATGATATTCGCCACGCTAACTACACTCCATATCCATGAAATGGGGAAGGCGTGGCTGTGTATCTCATGTGAGCGTGGCGGCGGCTGCGCTTTTGATGGGATGTTGCTGTTTTGAAACAACTGCAATCATGTTCTTGTCCAGCATGAGACAAGATCAGGCTCAAATGACATCCTTTCACAAAGGGGGGGGGCAGCCCTGCACAAGTCAGTGCTCTTACCTTCCAGACGAATTCATTATCAATCCATCGTACCCGGGGGGTAGAAAGCTTATCTGGCCTGGGCAGGAGCCGGTATGGAATTTGACCTTAGGACCGAAGGTGGTAAGCATGCCATCGCCACAACATCACCTCCGCCTCCGTGTTATTAGATTGTCCCAAAAGTTTCGTGACATTTTTTAAAATCTTATTTTATCAAATCTTTGCGCAGCTATTTCGAGATCCAGTATTGGGTGAGCATCTCATAGTTGCTTTACCATCCCTCGCAGTCGCTATTGTCGTATATCCAAAACGATAGGACATTTATAATTTTCGTCACGCTTCGCTATATGAATCTCCACCAAGTCACAACCCGGCTAGAGCCACGGCACTTGCTCTGAGTTAGGTCCTGATACTGGTGTGGCCGGTTGGAATGGCCCGATCGCTTTTGCTTGAGTGAGTTCTACTTGGGAGACATACGTCGTCCAGAGACGCCATCTGCTTTGATCTGGACCTCCGCTAAAATGTTGAGTAATTCGCCCTGGCTGCGGTCCAAGCTATGCCTCCTCTTAAGCCCTTTCAACTGCAACTATTGTCACTGTGCGCTACGAGTAGCCCTTACGCCTGTTGATGCGCTCACTCCGCACACAGGCGGAAATTTCAGGATGATCCGGCTTCTAGTGCGCGAAGGTTAGGTTCTGCTATACTGGTTTACACAACTGGTAATTCGTTGACGGTACTTACATCAACATCGGTAACACAAAATTCACTGATGAAAAGCCGTCGGCTGTTCCGCGACGACGCCAGTCAAGCACCATCATACTGAAAAAAGAAGTTCAAAAGCCATTACTCTCGACAGAGCAGGGTACCTATGATGTTGGTAAAGGGTTGTTCTGAATGGCTGAAACTTACAACGGCATGAGCGTGAACGATATCGAAAATACACCGAGCCATGCGGTAAAAATAGACATTGGAGTGAGTTCCATGGTCATCCTGGAAAGGGGATTTGTGACAACGTCCTGTTGGAATGGACCATAGAAAGCACCGCACAAATCGAAAATACACGCAGCAACAATCTCCACACGAACAACAACATCAGCAAGACGCAAACCCGAAAAATTAGAAAATAAATTAGAAAATTACAACGACAACTGTGGTGGAAGAAGCAATGACGCTTTCGTCCCAACGAGGCATTCATAAGAAAAAGGGCAAACATTCTCGATACGACACTCTCCGGAGTAATCTGGGTATTATGTATAGTTTATAATGTCGTAACCAGCTGGGGCGATGTCAGCAGAGGCGGAGTAAGGCCACCTACGGTTGCTCTGCTCCACCAATGGTAACTGGTTAGTGATCGATTCAGGAAGGAAACAGCCAGAAACACCAATCCTTCTTGGAACCGCCCCGAATCATTTTGATGATATCAGCTGTAGATAAGTGTCAAGTGATACCTGAGGCAGATAACTCTTTCTTTACGCAAAAATCAACTTATGCAAAGGAAGCGCCATTCATGCAAGCAAAATAAATAAACAGGTAACCAAATAAGTATTCTCACGCTCTTGTGACGTCTTTCTGCACTATACCACTAGATGATTACCGCGCGGCTTTCTCTTTCACTGCCGTCAACTAATGGTGGGGGGTGTGAGGCAAAAGTTACTCCTTACAATCAGGTGAAGAACTATAGAGAACACCAAGAGAGATTCAGAGAGGTCTTAGCCATTCCTTGGCGGGGATCGCGTCCACAAATTCCTTTACTTACATCGTCTCAAGTCGATGAGGCAGTTCCAAAGTCATTTCTCGGTTGCGTAAGCTTCCAAGAAGAGAAGAAGTGGGAGGGACTGGGAAAAAGAAAGCGTTGGCGGGTGTTCACACCTGGGTGGAGCTGGCGTTGACAATAAGATCACATGTATGGGGCTGAGGATACACCACAAAATTGTTCGATTTCCCTCTATGAGCGCGCACAAAACGGAAACTGAGCTGCTCCCTTGGAAAAGACCCCCTCTCAAAATCCATCACAATCATTCATTTTATGATATAAGTAATCCATATTCTGTATGGCAAAAATTTCAAGCGGAGTACAACTCTTGGGGAGGGGGAGGGGAAGAGCTGCTCGTGTTTCTGTGAACTTTCTATTGCTGTAGGCAGATGCATCGCAAACTATGCAGAGCTCATACACTAATTTCTACCATCACTGAGGAATGCTACACAGTAATCCACCACTCAAGCTGACCCTTCCCTCTTTAATGTTCAGCACCAGAACTTCAGAGTCAGATAGAACATAATGGAGGAAAACCGGCGAAAGAAATGCACAGGAAAACAGCCAGAACATTGTGACACCACGAAAAA